AACTGCTGGTTCTTCCCCATTATCTAATTAATACACTTATATTCTGGAGTAAGTGAGAGATGAGAAACCCGAATCTTCTCTTTTCATTGTTGGTCTTAGTTATGGTGAGCCTTTCATTTGTGAAGATCTTACATGACAAATAGGATTTTACTATTTAAAGAACTAGCACCCACTTTTACAACATGGCTCAAAGTGCAAAACAAGTATTTTATCTGGGGACACAATGCACAAAAAAAGCTATCTGTAGAAATGCCACGAAAATACTGTTTCGTTGGATTTACTGAGACATGATATTTTGCTTACAAGTATACTTTCTTATTTATTTACTTATTTTTGTAGAGTTTTGCTATGTGGCACATGCACTCACCAGAGAGACAGAAACCAAAAGTGAGAAATCACCCCGTAGGGGAGATGGCCACACCACAGTCTCTTCTCCTCCATTCTCCTCTTGGGATTTTGGGCACACACACACACACACACACATGCACCTGGTGTGAGTTTTAAACTGCTGGGTCAGGGATTTAAACCACGGACAACTATGTGGGATTCCAGAAACATAACCATTATGCCATGTGCTAGTCCCCAGTATGATACCTTCTTATGGGAAGCAATTTTTGACTATACATATAATTTAATCTGTACACACTAACTTTAAGACCTAATTTCTAGGGACCAGCAGATGGCATAATGGTTATACTGTTGGATTCCCATGTAGTCGACCATGGCTCAAGTCTGAGGCCTAGTGGCTTAAAACTCATGTAAGATGCATGTGTGTGTGTGCCCAAAATCCCGAGAGGAGAATGGAGAAGAAGCGATTGTAACATGGCCATCCCTCTTGGGGAGTGATTTCTTGATTTTGTCTCTCTGTGTCTCTGGTGAGCACATATATTCTATAGTAAAAATCTCTCTCTAAAGAAAAATAAAAGACCTAATTTCTAGAGAAGCTGAGATTCCTCTTTAGCTCCACTTATACGTCTCTCTCTCTCTCTCTCTCTTTTTTTTGAGAGATTTTTGTTACAGGGCACATGTGCTTACTGGAGAGACAGAGAAAGAAAGTAAGAAATTACCCTGCAAGGGGATGGCCATGCTGCAATCCCGTCTCCTCTAGGGATTTTGGGCACACACGCACATATGCCCAGCATGAGTTTCAAGCTGCTGGGTCTCGGACTTGAACTGTAGTCAGCCATGTGAAAGTCCAGCTCCTTAACTATCATGCCACCTGCTGGCCCCTAGGCCTTTCTTAATTTATAACAAGTTAATTAATAATGTTATTTTTATTCTTCAGATGTTTATCTATTTTATGACTGCTTAATCTGTCAAACTTATATTAAAGTCTCCCAGTATAATTACATTCTTGTTATACTCTTACCATATATTTCTAACAGTTTTTACTTCATGTATTTTCTGGCTTTTTAATGGGTACATAAAATCAATGAATATAAAACTTCACCTTACATCATACTTTGTACATTATAAAATAGCTTTGAAAATAATAAATTAATAATAATATTAATTAATTATTAATTATTTTCTAATTTAGTATAGGACACGTGTGTTCTCCAGAGAGGGACAGAAAGAGCAAGAGAAAGAGAGATACAGGGAAAGTGAGAAAGGAAGTCGCTAGTTCTGGGACTCAACCATGATCAGCCATGTGGGAGTCTAGCACCTTAACCACTACACCATCTGTTGGTTCTATAAAATAGCTTTTTTGAGTCCTACTTAATGTATCTATACCTCGAGTTCTAATTTGTGTGATGTTATAAACATTCTTATTATTCCTTTTAATTTTAACTTCCTTATATATCTTTATCTAACTTATATTTAACCTTTTTTCTTTTCATGCTATCCCAGCACCCACTGCTAACTACTGGGCTCCTACATTGATTCATAAGGTTTTGTACTCCAAGCAGTAAAAATGTATTTTTTGATAACAATTTTATTGAGATACATTGGGCTGTCTAAAAAGTCATGAGGCATTTTTGCATAGCAAAACATAGAAAAATACATCCTGACTTTTTTAATGACCCAATAATTTGTACACCATAAAAATTACCCTTTTGAAGTGTACAATTCAGTGGCTTTTTAATATAAAGTTGTACGGTCATTATAACCACTAATTGTAGAACATTTCATCACCCCAAAAAGACCTTGTACCCAATTATCAGTCACTCTCTACCTCTCTTTTGCCCCTGGCAAACTCTAACCTATTTTCTATCTATAGATTTGCCCATTCTGGACATTTCACATAATAAAGCATATAATATGTGGTCTTTTGTGCTTGGCTTTTTTCACATAGCATAATATTCTTGTGGTTCATGCATGTTGTCCCATGTATTAGTACTTCATTCCTTTTATGGCACTCCATTGAGTTGATGGACATTTTTTTTTAACTTTTTGCTATTATAAATAATGTTGCTGTGAACATTTGTATACAAGTTTTTGGGTGGACATATGTTTTTCATGGATAGATGCAAAAGAGTGCAATTGCTGGGTCATACGGTAATTCTAGGTGAAGAACTGCCAAACTGTGTTCCAAAGCTTGCCATACCATTTTAAATCCCTACCAGCAGAGTATGAGGGTTCTTTACACTTATCAACATTTGTTATTACCTGTCTTTTAAAAATTATTATTATTGCTAGAAGGTATGTGTGTTTCCTAGGAAGTAACAGAAGAAGGAGAGGGAGAGAGCACCCTCAATGAGGGCATGGTCGTGCTATAATCCCTTCTCCTCCACTTCTGTATCCTGTTGGAATTTTTTCTCATACATATACCCCCCACATACACTACGGTATTTCTTTCTTTTTAAAGAATTACTTATTTAATTTCATTTGTTGTTATTATTATTATTGTTATTATTATTAATTTGACCAGAGAGAGAGAGAAAGGGTAAAGGAGAAAACAAGCCACCAGGTCCAGGACTCAAACTGTGGTCAGTCATGTGGGAGTCCAGCACCTTAACCATACTGCCACCTGCTGGTCCCTGTAGTAGCTCCTATGGCCAGGACTAAAACTGTACAATCAACCATGTGGGATCTGGCTCCCTTAACGTGAGACCATGAAGCCATCCCAATTATCTGTCTTTTTTATTATAGTCATCTGGGTGGGTATGAAATAGTAATTAATAGTGACTTTGATTTGCATTTCCCTAATGACTAATGATCCTATGCATCTTTTCCATTCGCTTATTGGCCATTTGTATATCTTTGGAGAAACGTCTATTCAAATTATTTGCTCGTTGTGAAAACTCAGTTTTTATTGAGTCTTATTGAGCTCTAGGAGTTCTTTATATATTCTGGATACAAGTCTCTTATATATATTATTTGCACCTACTTTTTTTTTCCCATTCTGTGGGCTCTTTTTCACTTTCCTCATGGATCTTTTGAAGTGTAAACAATGTTAATTTTGATAAAGTTTAATATCTTTTTTTTTCTTTTGTTGCTTGTGTCTTTGATGTCATATTTAAGAAATCTTGCCTAATATAAGATCATAAAGATTTATACTTAAGTTTTTATCTAAGAGTTGTGTAGCTTTCACATTCCATGAATGGAGTTGGGACAACTGATATTCACAGGCAAAGAAACAAAGTTGAATTAATTTTAAATAATTTTTAAATTTTTATTTCTTATTAGATTTTTGCCTTAGGGCACGTGTGTTCTCCAAAGAGAGAGACAGAGACAGTGAGAGGGAAAGTTAGAAATCATCCCCCAGCAGGGATGGCCACATAACAATCCTTTCTCCTTCATTCTCCTCCGACCATTATTTAGAATACCTAGTCTAGAAAACTGGAAACCACTTTAATTATTTCTTTTTTCCCCCTTCTTTTAGGTTTTTGCCAGAGAGCATGCATGTTCACCAGAGAGACAGAAAGACAGAAAGTGAGAAATCATTCCCCATGGGGGAATGCCATGCCACAATCCCTTCTCCTCTCAGGATATTAGGCATGTACACACATAAGTCTGGTGTGATTGTTTTCAGGCCACTGGGTATAGGATTTGAACTATGGTTGGCCATGTGGGAGTCCAGCACCTTAATCAGTATGCCACCTACTGGCCGCAATTGTTTCTTTTTATTTCCCACATTAGATCACTATAATATCACGTTTCCTGACATTTTCTCCTTTCTTTACATTTTTACTGCCATTAGGCCTTCCTTTGACCTTTTGCCTCATTAAGTTCACTCTTCTCGTTTATCTATGTAGAGGTTATTTTCATTCTATACCATTCCTTATGCTCTTCTTAGGCTAATTTTCCTAAACTATGCTTTCATCACAGCACTTCCCCAGTGAAGATATTCAACTGGTTTCTCCAAATATGAGTTAAAATTTACTTGAACATTAGGAATTGCCTTAAATCTGTCTCCCTCCTTTGTTTTCTGCCTTCCTCATTCAGGATGCTTTCCACCTTCTTTATGACTCCACAACCTGAAGACAATATGCTACATCTAGCTCCATTCCATTATTAGTGTATTTTCTTTCACCTGAAGTGTCCTAATTCACTGGTAATCTAAATTCTACTAATGTCTATCTTCTCCAGAAAGCTTTCATCTGTTCAGAATAGCATTAATCTTCCCTGTCTCTGAATTACTAGTCTGCCATCAGTAACACAAATGACTATAGCTGGAAATAATCTCATGTTTGCTCTGAATTAACTTCTCTTGGTTTGTATGTGTATTCCCACTATTCCCTCCCCAAGCAGCTTAAGTAAAAGCACTTTGAAGGGAGAGACTGTAGTTCTGTTATATTAGGATCTATCATGGCAATGGATCATAGTGAAGTTTCCACAATGTAATTGCAAATGGATTCATTTAATTAACATTGAACATAAAATCTCCTACCCCATAGAATGTTTAATGTGATTACTACAAATTGAAAAAGCAAATATGCAAACAAAAAGAACAACTGGATATCTGTGTGCATCAAATTAAATCATATAAATAAAAATTTAATTTTGAAGAACTAATGCTAAAACTAAAATTATTATAATAAGACATTTATATTCACCTATAGTTTGGATCCAGGATCTTCACACGAAACACATACATCCCAGAATGGCCCATGGGCCAATATATATGGTTACCATTTGAACTGTTGATAATCTCATATGGTTGATTTAAGTCTCCTGGTTTTCCAATAGCATAAGAAAAACAGTGCCTATAGTTCTGAACAAGGAACAAAAAAATTAAGGTTATTTTCTGACTTTAATAAATGAAAATATATATTCTCATATATTTATCTTACCTTGAAATTTATTTAGCAATATAATGGCTATTTCCTTTTTACCATTGTAGTGCACTATAGCATTTTTACAGACTATATTGAGTTAAAATATAAAATATGATAAAAAAGTGAAACTTAGCGAAAGCAAAATCTGTATTTATAAACAAATTAGGGTGTTGAAAGTATGTTAGCATATTATTTTTCTAAATCAGCAAGGCATCAAATCCTCCAAAGATGCTTAATTGGAGATAGAAACTACTTGATCATAAGGTATGGACACATAGTCAAGGTAGTATATCCTTGGGTTTTTATCTCCTTCTGGGACTTATATTTATGTCCAATACTGTGTTTCTGTGGGACTCAAGATACAAGGTAAAAAGATTACTTATTTCTTTTCTGCTTCCTCCTTTAAAAACCCAGATGAAGCAAGCCTGTGTACTTTAATTTTTTTGGTATATTTTTGCTATAGGGCATGTGCACTTGTTGGAGAGAGACAGAAAGTGAGAAATCACCCTCCAGGAGGGATGACTATGCTGTAACCCATTCTCCTCTCGAGATTTTGGGCACGCATACACACATGCCTGGTGTGTTTTAAGCCACCAGGTCCGGGACTTGAGCTGTAGTCGGCCACATGGGAGTCCAGCACCTTAACCACTCTGCCAACTGCTGGTCCCAGCAATCCTATATTTAAAAAGTCACATTATTAAAGCTAAGAAAGTGAAATTAAGAGATTGTTAAAACTTGCAGATATTAGACCCTATGATCATAAATGGTGCTGCTTCTGCTTTCTTTCAGTTCCTTATTTATTTATTTATTTATGTACTTATTTTGAAGAGGTTTTTGCTATAGGGAGCGTGCGCTTGCCAGACAGACAGAGAGAAACAGAGAAACAGAAAGCAAGAAATCACCCCCCAGGGGGGATGGCCATGCCGCAATCCCTTCTCCTCCATTCTCCTCTATGGGTCTTGGGCACGCACGCACATGCACCCGGCGTGAGTTTAAACCAACTGATCCAGGACTCAAACCGCGGTCAGCTACATGGGAGTCCAGTGACATAGCCATTACGCTAACTGCTGGTCCCAGTTCCTTTTTTATTTCACACCTCATTTAGAAGATTTTATTTCTACTGCTCATGCTCCCTGGAAACTTCTCATTTGAAGGAAACACAAAACCTTGTGAGGAAGTTACTTCCAATGTGTCTGAGTTTTGCCATCCTTAATGGTTGCTATGGTTTGAAAGTATCTCCAGTGGCCAACAGGTGGCGTGGTGGTTAAGGTGCTGGACTCTCACATGGTTAAATGTGGTTCTAGTCTTGACCACCACCATATAGAGGTAGCCAGCAAGAAATAGTCACTTCTCAGAGTGCTGTTTCTGGGACCAGCAGTTGGTGTAAAGGCTATGTCTCTGGACTGTCATGTAGTCGACCATGTTTCAAGTCCCAGACCCAGTGGCTTAAACTCATGCTTGGCACATGTGCTTGCGTGACCAAGATTCAAAGTGGACAATGGAGGAGAAGGGATTGTGGCTTGGCCACTCCCCTGGGGGGTGATTTCTCGCTTTCTGTCTCTCTGTCCTTCTCTTGTCTTTCTGGTGAGCACACATGTCCTATAGCAAAAACCTCTCCAAAAAAAGGAGGATGCAATGGTGGAAGTAATGTTTTGAAGTAAATCATCACATTGGCAATGCCCTTACCAGGTTGAAGGAGAGTTGTTTGGAGTAATAACATTTTAGACTAACATGTGTTTCAGATAGAAATGCAATGGATGAAATCACTGAGCTCAAAGTAATATGGGTAGAACGGAGGAGGAGATTGCTCACCATTTGTAATTCAGTAACAAGTAAAGAGCCAAGAGCCAAGAGCACAGAGCTTGACTAAATGAGACAGGAGGTTCAGTTGATACTCAGCTGTGCACAGACACTGGCTAGTTGCATTGGCTGTGGGCCTCTCCTCATGTTCAAGATATTGTGATGTGTAAGACCAAATGAGGTAAATAGTAAAGAACACATGTGTTCTAGCTCCACTTTGGGGGAGCTTTGGGGAAAGTTGGGAAGATATTGTATAATAATAGGGATGACATCATAAGAGGGACAGAACTGGGCTGTGCATTGGAGAGTAATATATATGGAGGTGTACTTGTCAAGAAACTTTTGGCTTAAATATACCTGTTCTATATCCCCTGGCTTCCCTCAAAATCATTATAAAGAATCCAAATGTTTTGTGTACCCATGTTGCCACATCTGCCCTATTTTGGTGGTAATGTTTTGTTGAAGGATATCCCACAGAAGCAGTGTAGTTGATTCGACAACTTGGCTCATGCGCAGAGTGGTATAAACTGCAGAAGCTCTGAGAACACGTTCTGATCAACCTGTCCTGCACTGAGCGGGCTTTCACTGTAATTGAGAGTATTGGGTACACATACTACCAGAACTGACTAATCACCCAGAGAGGAATTTTTAAGGGATTCTGCATATAGACCAGTACATCCTTAGTTTGATAAAAGCTCAGGTTCAGGAGTGGGTATCCCTGGAAACTGGATCCTCAATGGATACAGATCAGGATTGGTTGTTTTAAGGGGAAGTATAAGGCTGAAAAGTGGGGAGAATGAGGACAAGGGTGTCAGTCAATAGGTTTGCCATGGAATTGACCATATAGCAGAGCAACTATTTATACTTGCCCATATGCAAAATGGTTCCAGCCTTATGTATACAAATAGCACTCAACTTACGGTTCCACTTCCAATAGTTGGACTTAGGGTGTTTTGTCTTTATCATGGTGCATATGTAATACATTCAGTAGAAACCGTAATTCAAATATATAACCATTCTTTTTCTCTCTTTTAGTACAGTGTTCAATAAATTACATGAGCTATTCAACACTATTATAAAACAGGCTTTTTGTTAGATGATTTTGTCCATGTTATGCCCAAGCTAATGTAAGTGTTCTTGGTGAGTTTAAGGTAAGCTAGACTAATCTACTGTTTTTCATGGGAGGATAGATGATTAAGTGCTTTTGGGGGGAAAGCCATAGGCCATGTACACTTGCCAAAGAGAAATAGAGAGGGAAAGTGAGAAATCATCCCCCGGGGGGATGTCCACACTACAATCTCTTCTCCTCCATTTTCTTCTTGGGATCTTGGGCCTGGTGTGATTTTCCAGCTACCAGGTTTGGGACTCAAACCATGGTCGGCCATGTGAGAATCCAGTGGCTTAACCACCACACCACCTGCTGGCTCCTTATGTGCATTTTTTACTTGTGATATTTTCTACTTACAATATTTCCTACATACTATGAGTATATTGGGATGTAACTCCATTGTTGTTCTTTTTTATTTATTTTTTGCTATATGGTACATGCCCTCTCCAGAGAGACAGAGACATAGAAAGTGAGAAGTCACCCCCCAGGGGTGATGGCCATGCCACATCCCTTCTCCACCATTCTCCTCTCAGGGTTTTGGGCATGCACGCACACTTGCCTGGTGTGAATTTTAAGCTGCTGGGTCCAGAACTCGAATTGTGGTTGACTACATAGGAGTTCAATGATGTAACCATTACACCATCTGTTGGTCCCAGGATATAACCCCATTGTGAGTCAAGAAGCATCTGTATAAGATTGTACCTACAGCCAGACTTCACCCTCCTGACCTCAAGGATAAGACAACCACATTTGAGCTCTGAGTGGACCCTTTCAGGGACTTGGACAACTAAAAGTTTTCTGCCTAGACTTCACCCTCTTGACCCAAAATCTAGTAGGTACAGTACCCTCTGTATTCTGTTTCTCTCCATCTCTTTCTCTCTCTCTTGCTTTTTTTTTTTTATCATTTTCATACTTCTTAGCTCTCTGTCTTTTATCCTGCTAATTTTCATTTTTCCTCCCTCCCACATAGGGCAGGCCAATCACAAGGCATCTACATTTGAGCTCTGAGTAGCCTCTTGAGAGCATAGGCACTGTACTGTTTCCATGTTTTGTTTTTAAAAACTTTCTTATTTTTTTCTTTAAATTTTTTTATCTTGTTTTTTCTTTTCCCTTTCCCTTTCCTTTTCCCTTTCTCACTTCTCTGCTCAGCCTTCACACACTGAGCTTCTAGACAGATCTAAGTGTACAGCAGCCAAACATCTGAATACTTTTAGAATAAGAATAATCCTCACTTTCTAGAGAATCTGCTACAGAGGGAAAAACAGAACTGCTGAGTGATTTCAGAACACCTCCTCTTATATGCCTCTGACCACTCAGATTTAACTCAAAAACTTAGGAAAAAATGCATAATCCATCAGATGATCAGAAACCACCGTAGAGATACAAAAAATATGAGGAGCCAAGAAAACATCTCCTTGAAAAGAAAAGAATAACTCCTCATCCTTCACTGACAATACAATGGAACTTGTGGAAATGTCAGATAAAGAATTTAGAATATTGGTAACCAGCAGGTGGCATGATGGTTAAGGCACTGGACACTCCCACATGGCCAACCATGATTCAAGTCCCGGACCTGGTGGTTTGCTTTCTCACTTTCCCTCTCTCTCTGTCTCTCTGTGGTCAAATTAAAATAAATAATGGATGAATAAATAAAATTAAATAAAATAATTCTTTAAAAAAAGAATTTAGAATATTCATAATGACAAAGCTAACAGAGATGCAAGAGAAGAGAGACAACAAGCTCCAGAAGATCCAGGAGAAAAGAGACAATGAGTTCCAGGAGATGAGGAAGTTCTTGAATGATCTGAAAGAGGAAATACACACCATAAAAAATAATCAAATGGAATTTTTAGAAATGAAGGCTGTAATATGGGAAATCAAAACCTCCCTTGAAAGTATTAAAAGCAGATTAGATTGTGCAGAAGGTTGAATCTCAGATGTAGACTTAGAAAACTGACTTAGAAAAATTCTGACTTAGAAAAATTCTCCGAAAAAACTGAGAGAATAACCCCCCCCCAAAAGAGAATAATATATGAGTAATACTAGCTATCATTAAACATCCAAACATCCAGATGATTGGTATCCCCGAAGATGAAGAAACTAATAAAGGCATTGATGATCTATTCCATGAAATCCTGGAAGAAAACTTTCCAAACCTAGAGAGGTATTCAAATATCCAGACTCAAGAAATAAAAAGGACTCCACAGAATCAACCCAAGAAGATCTCCAAGTACATCATAGCCAGACTGACCAAAAAATCACAGACAGACAAGATACTAAAATCATCAAGAGAGAAATGTTAAGTTACTTTCAAAGGCTATCCCATCAGGCTAACATTGGACCTCTCACCAGAAACATTACATGGAAGGAAAAAATGGGAAAAAATATTCAAAGTGTTAAGTGAAAAGCAATTTCAACCAAGAATACTATACACACAGAAATAAGAGTACAAAAAAACATCCAAGAGAATGGCCAACTTAATGATAGGAAGAACTCTGGAAAGATCAATATTAACGTTGAATGTTAACTTCAGAATCTAAATGGAAAGATCAGACCACAGTAACACTGCAAATCAACAAAAGAGAGATTAACTACATGAGACTGAACTGATGAAATAGAATTGCATGACTTTTGACTAACACATTACTGATTTTTTTCTATGCTTTGTTTTCCAGATTTAAGTATTTTTGTCCTCTCTTAAACTGTTGATAGGGTCATCTACACATTGTTTGAATGGAATCCTAACCTTTTTCCTGACTTAAGCAAAGTTCTAAACTTCTAAACTTCCTAAATCTTAAGCAAACTTCTCTTAATATTTTTTGATTTTGACCTATTAAAACAAAAACTGTTTATCTTGAAAGTAAAAAAATGCATAAAAATATACCTATTTAATGACTGCAGTAAATGCCTACAGTCAGGTATATGTTCATAGATATGTATATATCAGTTGCACTTATTATTGAAAGTATTTAGATTAATTAAGATCTTTTGTGAATCAATGAAATGTGTGTGTGTGGGGGGGAAGGCCTGGAAAGCAACTGTAGATACCAGAGACAGTATGGGAGAAGGGTGGGAAATGTAAGAGGGTGAGGGATACGGAATCGAGGCGGGGAGAAGAAGCAAAATATATAAGAAACAAGAAATGGAAAATTATTTGTTGATGATAACATGTATGGTAATATTCTTGATTGAGCCAATATACAGTGTATTTTGGATGGAAAAATCTCATTTTGTATACTGTAATGATGTGCAGTGAATGAATGTAAATAAATAAAAAAAAAAGATTGTACCTGCAAAGGAACTGCTATGTTTCTACAAAGACAGATTTGACTCTCATTCATGTAGAATGAGTGTCATCTACAAGTAAGTACATGATAAATCTTTTGGGGTTTAAAAGTTTGCACTTTCACCTATCCTAGGCCATATTGTTCATCTCCCTGTCATATATTCTCACTGAATTCTCATTGTGGATTAGTTCTTTTCACAGTTTTTGGAAAGCAACCCTACTAAATTTACCTAAGTGTTATTTATTTCTTGTTCTTTCTTTCACACTTTC